TAACGGGCCTGTACTCTTCAAAAATGTCAGCATCATAAAACACCAAGAAAGGCAGGAGAAGTGTTTCAGATGTAAGGGAAATAAAGGTATATTAAAATTAAGTCAACATACAAGCCAAGATTTTCCTTTGTTATCAGGGATACTGTTAGTCCATGGACAAAAATCTCAACAAAGGCTGGCCACAGTGGCTCACGCCTGTCATCCCAGCACTTTGGGAGGCTGACGTGGGCGGATCACTTGAGGTCAGGAGTTTGAGATCAGCCTGGGCAACATGGTGAAACCCCATCTCTACTAAATATACCAAATTAGCCAGGCATGGTGGCGCATGCCTGTAGTCCCAGCTACCTGGAAGGCTGAGGCAGGAGAATCACTTGAACGTGGGAGGTGGAGGTTGCAGTGAGCCGAGAGATCACGCCATTGTACTCCAGCCTGGGCAACAAGAGTGAAACTCTGTCTCGAGTGGGAAAAAAACAAAAAACAACAAAAAAAAAAACATATATATACACACACACACACATATATCAATAAAGTCCACCAATCAGGTAACAGTATTGTTCAGTATTAATTTCCTGCTTGGGTAGATGCCTGCGGTTCAGTAAGAGATTGTGCTTGTCTTCTGGAAATACATACTGAAGTATTGAGTATGTCACTCTTATTTTATGTTTAAATTTTTTCTCTCTCTCCTTTTTTTTGTAGAGGCAGGGTCTCAGTATACTGGCCAGGCTGGTCTCCTGGCCTCAAGTGATCTTCCCACCTTGGGTTCCCAAAATGCTGGGATTAAACCACTGCACCCAGGCCCTGTCACTTACTCTTAAATGGTTTCAGAAAAAAGTAACTGGAGAGGATAAAGCTGATATGGTAACATTTAGGAAATCTGGAAAACTAAAAATAATTTTTTAATTTTTTTGAGATAGGGTCTTGCTCTGTCGCCCAGGCTGGAGTACAGTGGCGCAATCTCAGCTCACTGCAACCTCTGCCTCCTGGGCTCAAGCGATCCTCTCATCTCAGCCTCCTGAGGAGCTGGGACTACAGCCGCACACTACCACGCTCCGCTAATCTTTTAAATTTTTTGTAGAGACAGGATTTCGCCATGTTGCCCAGGCTGGTCTCAAATTCCTGGGCTCAAGTAATCCGTCCACCTTGGCCTCCCAAACTGCTGGGACTACTGGCGTGAGTCACCGCGCCCAGCCTAAAAATAAATTATTGTTGAAATGGTATTTCAGTATTTAAAAACTGTTACAGCCAAAAGACAACACAGACTCCTAAAAGGAGTCTTGGGCTGGGTCAGAAGTAGATTCCAACCCTGAGCCTCTCCCTTACTAGCTATGTAGCTCTGGGCCATCACATCTGCTAGGAGGGTAATCGCCCCACCCATCCATTCTGTTGGGTTACTTTTTTTTTTCTTTCTCTTTCTCCAGCTCTCACCCAGGCTGGGGTGCAGTGGCCCGATCTCGGTTCACTGCAAGCTCCGCCTCCCAGGTTCACGCCATTCTCCCACCTCAGCCTCTGAGTAGCTGGGACTACAGGCGCCCGCCACCTCGCCCGGCTAGTTTTTTTTTTTTTTTTTTTTTTTTTTTTTTGAGACAGGGTCTCACTCTGTCACTCCAACTGGAGTGCAGTGGTGGTCTCGGCTCACTGAAGCCTCAACTTCCTGGGCTCAAGTGATCCTCCTGTCTCAGCCTCCCAAAGTGCTGGGATTACAGGTGTGAGCTACCACCCCTGGCCCTGTTGGGTTATTGGTGATTAGTGGGCTAATGAATGGAACAGCACTCTGCAAACATCAGGGGCCAGACACAGCTCATGCTGAAATATGGTTTCCTGAGGATGAGGTCTAAACTGCCTCCTCTCTCTGGAAAGGGGGCCACGGTAGGTATAATGATGGGGCCCCAGGCGGCCATGCAGGTGCTCTCCTAGGAACTTGTGCGTGTGCAGGATTCTTTCTAACCTCCTGCCTTTATGTGACTATAATCAGTTTTAGCGATGGTTTCTGTCACTTCGCATTGTATCATATCATTAAAAAAAATGACTTACAGAATTCAAAACCAGTATCTAAGAGCTGCATACCATTTCAGAAGGGGAGGGTAGACTCTTAACTTCCTGTTCCCCCACTGCTGGACATTGAGGTTACTTCCAAATTCTCACCATGATAAGTGCCTCACAAGCAGCTTTGTACATAAAGCTTTGTACGTATTTTAGATGATCTCCTTAGACTAGGCTCTGGTAAATAGGATTACTGGATCAAGGGGTATGAACCGAATACTTTCTACAAAGACTATTCCAATTCATACCATCAATAATACTGTAGAAAAATGCCAGTGAAACTGGCATTTATCATGTTTGTATTCTGCCTTACTTTTTTTTGATATGGAGACTCGCTCTACCACCCAGGCTGGAGTGTAGTGGCACGACTGTGGCTCACTGCAACCTCCACTTCCCAGGTTCAAGCGACTCTCCTGCCTCAGCTTCCTGAGTAGTTGGGACTACAGGCATGCATCACCATGCCTGGCTAATTTTTGCAATTTTAGTAGAGATGGGGTTTCCCCATGCTGGCCAGGCTGGTCTCAAACTCCTAACCTCAAATGATCCGCCCACTTTGGTCTCCCAAAGTGCTGGGATTTACAGGCATGAGGCACCACGCCCAGCCCTGCCTTACTATTTTTTTCCTCGTAATTAAATGAGGAAATTGTACCTTATTGTTATAACTTACACTGCTTTGAGTATTAATGGTATATGATATATATTTATCAGCTGCTATTACTATTTTGCTTGAGTATGTCTTTTGTCCATTTTTCAGGATATTTGTGGGTTTAAAAAAATTGAATTCCTAAACGCACATTAGAATAGGGATATCAACTTTTGTGTTGTCATATTTTAAAATACTTTCCAAAACTGAAAGCTTTGAAGAGGACTGAATTCCAGCAGTATGAAATGGTTAAAAAGTGGATAATCACATATCTATGCCTGAAGGTGGTATTTCTCACATCAATAGATCCTGCAAACAATAAACTAATATCCAAAGAAATTTTACTGGAAATACATTGGAGAGTCCTTAGTAAGGTCATTGGCAATACAGTCTAGGAAGATCTAGGTCAACAGATGAACCTGTTAGACAGGTTTAACCAATTCCCTTAGACTAGCGAAGTCTGAATGCTGAGAACGCCAGAGAATAAATTGTCAAACTCCCTCTCTAGCTTGGATACAGGTAATTTTATTTTCTTTTAAGAGGCAGGCAGGGCACATTCAACAGACAAGATGAATAAGTTGCTTTTCTTTTCTTTTTTCTCTTTCTTTTTTTTTTTTTTCTTTCTTGTGTGAGACAGGGTGTTGCTCTGTCTGCAGTCATAGCTCACCATAGCCTCGACCTCCCAGGCTCAAGCGATCCTCCCACCTCAGCCTCACAAGTAGCTGGAACTACAGGCATGTGTCACCATGCCCAGCTAATTTTTAAATTTTTAGTAGAGACAAAGCCTCACTATGTTGGCCAATTGAACTCTTGGGCTCAAGTGATCCTCCTGCCTCAGCCTCGCAAAGTGTTGGGATTACGGGTACAAGCCACCACACCGGGCCTACTTCTTTATCAAAGAAGCTCTTCCTGAACAACACAGAAACCCCCCAGCGGGTCCCTAATGAGAACCAAACAGAAAAACCCCCAACTCAGGTTTGTTGGGCAATCCTTCTTTTCCACAGAAGCTGGACCAGGTTCTGTTATCGTTTAAAAAATATACTATGTTGAGTATTTTTAAAGACAAGAAGGGAAAGAGAACAGGTTCTTGCAAAGATAGGTACAGCCTCGACTCCTTTCAAGTACACGCGATCTCCCGAGTACTCGCTGCCTACACCCAGCCAAGTCATCACAGGACCCAGACAGTGTCAGACGCGATGCTGCCGGGAAAGCAAGGCGGGGCCCTGTTCCGTGGGGCTCTGCAGCATTTGAGCCACAGTTTGAATGATGTGTTGCAAAGAGTTTTTATGTGCATAGCTGAGAAGCAGGTCACTTCGTTTCTCAAGAACCAGCCGGCCTCAGTACACAACTGAAGGTCAAGCGACTCTTACAGCCCTGTAGCCTCACCGTGTGACACCCAGGTGACCTGTCTCTGCCAAAGTGCTGACTGTGCTCGCAGTCCTTGGAAGGCACTTAAGTTTTTAATAGAAAGGACCTATAATTAGGGCAGTATCTGGTGCTCTGATCTGGGAGAAGGAGAAAAGGAAAACAGCCCCTAGGATTCCTGCCCACAGTTCAGCACAGGACGCCAGGAGATTTTCAAAACCTGACATTCCCCAGGGAAGGGCCTGACATTCCCCAGAGATTTTCAAAACCTGACATTCTTCAGCGAGGCTTATGTGAAAGATGCTTGAACCGCAGAGTAAGGTCTCGGCTCTTCCCCACTCTCAGAGAGCCTCCAGGAGGACTCCGAGACTCCCAGACCAGCCCTCCGCCCCCGACCTCAATCTCAGAACAACTGAACTCTGGAAAGTCAAGATCACCAAGAACAGAAATACAAGGGGCTGGGGCCTGAGTTTAGAAACGACCAAAGACAGAATAAAAAGGACAGTCCTTTGTAAACTGTACAGCAGAGACAGGGCAGCTTGGGAGTGGCGGAGTGCACCAAGCTCACTGTGGCTTGGAGTGGGGTGGTGGGGTGTGACTAGGAGTTGCCGGCTCTCCAGCCCGGGACAGTTACCCAACTCGTCTCCCAGCCTGTTTCCCCATGGGCAGCAGAGATGGCCAGGACATAGTGAAGCAGGTCACAAGGGGCTCAGAGTGTCCTCCCCTGCCCCGTCCAAGGAAACAGGGCCTGGCTCTGGGGGCGAACTCTGACCCCACTACCCCAAGTGGCTGTGCCCTGGGGCAGGCACAGAGGAGCTCCCTCGGGAGCGAATCTCGCACTGCTCGCTGTGGGTAGGGGGGTCCAAACTAGACGCGGCCTCTGGGAGGGCAAGACCGGGAGGGGTCGGCCCGTGTCGGGGGCTACTGGAAAAGCAGCGCCACCGCCACCCACCTGACGACATGGAAGGCCCAAAGCAGGCGGTCTGTGCGGGGCCCGCGCGAGGCGCGGACGATGCTGAGATACAGGTAGAACGCAATGGCTACGGTCCAGAAGAAGGAGCTGGTGTTGGCGAAGGTGGACAGCGCGCCCTGCAGCACGCAGTCCCACGACGGGCCCGCGAAGTCCTGCAGCACTCCATAGAAGTAGGAGGCGGCCGAGAGCAGATCGGCCAGCGACAGGAAGAGCAGCAGGCGCCGTGCCCCGCTGCGCAGGTCGGGCCACAGGGCGTGCGTGGCCACCAGCAGGCCCGAGCCGAGCGCGGAGAGCGCGCACGACAGCAGCACCACGGCGCGCTCCGACGGCACCAGCTCGGTGGGCGGCGCGGCCCGCGGCATGGCGTGGGGGACCAAGAGCCAGAGCGCCGCGAGGGCAGAAGCCGGGCGGCGCGTGCGGCCACCGCCGCCGCCGTCTGGGCAGCTAGACGCCCGAGGCTCGCGTCTAGGCGCCCACCCCACCCGCGTCCGGCCGCTCCCCGCCCATCTGGGCTCTGGGTCCTGAGCCCCGCCCACGCCCAGGGCCCCGCCCCTATATCCCGGTCTGAGCCCCGCCCAGGTGCCCCTCCTCGTCCCGTTTATCCGGGCCCTGAGCCCCGCCCCCTCCACGCCCGTGCGGCTTCTAAGCTCCACCGGGTGCCAGAGGCTCCTGAGCCCCGCCCACGCCCTCACACCACGTCCCTAAGCCCTTAAGCCCTTAAACCCTACCCCCGGGCCCCCCAGGTCCCAGCACCTGTCCGTCCACACTCTGCCAGGCCCACCCCTGCTCTTGCCAGGTGTCTGGGACGTCCAGTCCTGTGAGAGGAAGGACTGGCATTTTTAGGGCTCGTATTACTTTCCCTCTTTTCAGCCAGCTTCTGTGTGTGTTGTGAGTGGAAGGGCGTGAGGATCAGAGGCGTTCTTTCCACTAGCAACAGAAGCAACTCTCGGGTGTGATCCTCATTCCTTAAGCCGTGATCCCCACGTGTTCACAAGTTGGTGGTGGTGACTTGGGGAAGCCGGTGTTTCCAACTTTTCTTAAAATAAACATGCTGTTTTTTAAAAAATAGCTAACTAGATGTGATTTTTAAAAAATGAAATGCTAGGCCGGGAGCGGCTTTTTCTTGTTTAAAAATTTCATACTTTTCAATTAAGATGTAGTTCACGTACCGCAAAATTGGCCCTTTTAACTAAACAATTCAGTAGTATGTTCACAAGTTTGTGCAACCATCGTTATTATCATTATTATCTAATTCTACAGCATTGTCATCACCCCAAAAAGAAATCCTTATCCCTTAGCCGTTAGCCCTTAGTCATTCTCCCCTAAGCCCTGGCAACCACTCTTTCACCGTGGATTTGCTTGTTCTGTACATTTCCTATAAGTAAAATCATATGCTCTGTGGCCTTTATGTCTGACTTTTTTCACTTAGCACGTTTCTGAGGTTCATCGTAGCATATAGCAGTGCTTCATTCCTTTTACTGCCCAATCATATTCCATTATATGGATATACCACTTTTGTGTGTGTGTGTGTGTGTGTGTGTGTGTGTGTGTGTGTGTGTAGACCGAGTCTCCCTCTGTCGCCCTGACTGGAGTGCAGTGGCATGATCTCGGCTCACTGCAACCTCTGCCTCCCAGCTTCAAGCAATTCTCCTGCCTCGGCCTCCCGAGTAGCTGGGACTACAGGCACATGCCGCCACACCCGGCTAATTTCTTTTCTATTTTAGTAGAGATGGGGTTTCACCGTGTTGCCCAGGCTGGTCTTGAACTCCTGAGCTCAAGCAGTCTGCCTGCCTCGGCCTCCCAAAGTGCTAGGATTACAGGCATGAGCCACCGTGCTCAGCAGGATGTACCACATTTTACTTAGCTATTATTCATCAGCCGATGGACATTTGGGTTGTTAACACTTTTTAACTATTATGAATAATATCACTATGAAAATTTGCATACAAGTTTTTTGTGATGTATGTTTTCAGTTCTCCTGTGTGTATACCTAGGAATGGAGTTGCTGGGCCATACGCAACTTTATATTTCAGCTTGTGAGGAACTGCCAAGGTGTTTTTCAAAGTGACTGTACATTTCATTTAAATTTACACCAGCAATGTATGAGGAATTTCTCTACATTCTTCCAACACTTTTTTTGAGACAGGGTCTCTGTCACCGAGGCTGGAGTGCAGGCACAACCACAGCTCACTGCAGCCTCAAATTACTGGGCTCAAGCAATCCTCCCAAATTGGCCTCCCCAATAGTTAGGACTTCAGGTGCATGTCACCTTGCCCTACTAATTTTTTTTTTTTTTTTTTTAAGACTGAGTCTTGCTCTTGTTGCCCAGATTGGAGTGCAGTGGTGCGATCTAGGCTCACTGCAACCTCTGCCTCCTGGGTTCAAGCAATTCTCCTGCCTCAGCCTCCCGAGTAGCTGGGATTACAGCTGTATACCACCACGCCCTGCTAATTTTTGTATTTTTAGTAGAGACAGGGTTTCACCATGTTGGCCAGGCTGGTCTCGAACTCCTGACCTCAGGTGGTCTGCCCGCCTTGGCCTCCCAAAGTGCTGGGATGACAGGTGTGAGCCACCTTGCCCAGCCCCTACTAAATTTGTTTGTTGGAGATGGGGTCTCACTATGTTGCCCAGGCTGGTCTCAAACTCCTGCCTTGACCTCCCAAAGTGCTGGGATTACAGGTGTGAGGCCACCTCACTCAGCCTTCCAACGTTTTTTATTATCTTTGTGATAATAGCCATCATAGTGGGTGTGAAGTTGTTCCTCATTGTGGTTTAGATTTGCATTTCTCTGATGAATAATGACCTCAAACATCTTTCCATGTGTGTATTGGACATTTGCATATCCTCTTTGGAGAAATGTCTATCCAACTAACTTTCTCTTTTCTTTCTCCCTCTCTCTCTCTTTCTTTTGTTTTTTTTTTTTTTTTTTTTTTTCAGACTGAGTCTCACACCGTCACCCTGGCTGGAGTGCAGTGGCGTGATCTCAGCTCACTGCAACCTCCACCTCCCAGGTTCAAGCAATTCTCCTGCCCCAGCCTCCCGAGTAACTGCGATTACAGGCACCAGCCACCACACGCAGCTACTTTTTGTATTTTTAGTAGAGACAGGGTTTCACCGTGTTGATCAGGCTGGTCACAAACCCCTGACTTCAAGTGATCCACCCGCCTCAGCCTCTCAAAGTGCTGGGATTACAGGCATGAGCCACCGCGCCTGGCCAATTTTCTTTCTTATTTTTAAATTGGTTTGTCTTTTCGTTGTTGAGCTGCAAGAGTTCTTTATGTATTCTAGTCATTACCCTCTTACCAGCTATGTGATTTGCAAATATTTCCTCCCATTTTGTGGGTTGTCTTTTCACTTTCTTGATAGTGTATTTCAAAGGAAAAAAGTGGCTTTTGAGGATGTCCAATTTATCCATTTTTTTCTTTGGTTGCTTGTGCTTTTGTTGTCACGTCTAAGAAACCATCGCCTATGCCAAACTCATGAAGGTTTGCATCTCTGTTTTGTTTCTTTCCAGCACCTCACTGTTATGGTTACTGTAGCTTTGTAGAAAGTTTTGAAATTGGGAAGTGAGTCCTTCAAGATTATTTTTTTCTTTTTTTTGAGATGGAGTCTCACTCTGTTGCCCAGACTGGAGTGCAGTGGTTTGATCTCAGCTCACTGCAACCTCCGCCTCCCAGGTTCAAATGATTCTCCTGCCTCAACCTCCTGAGTAGCTGGGACTACAGGCGCCTACTACCACACCTGGCTAATTTTTGTATTTTTAGTGGAGGCAGGGTTTCACTATGTTGCTCAGGCTGTTCTCGAACTCCTGACCTCAAGTGCTCTGCCCGCCTCAACCTCCCAAAGTGCTGGGATTACAGGCTTGAGCCACCATGCCCCACCCTTCAACATTGTTTTTCTTTTCCAATATTGTTTTGGCTATCCGATGTCCCTTGCAATTCCCTATTAATTTGAGAATCAGTTTTTCCATTTCTGCAAAAGAAATGGAAAAGATTGATAGAGATTGCTTTGAATCTGTAGATAAAAGTGGAGAATAATGCTATATTAATAATATGAGATCTCCTTATCCATGGACCAAGGATGTCTTTCCATTTATTTAGCTTTTCTTTAACTTCCTTCAGTGATGTCTTATAGTTTTTGGTGTACATTAGGTTTGATCTCGCGTTTGGTTCATAGAAAGCAAATATTATCTTTGTATATCTAACTTTAAAAAAATTGTTTTGGCCGGGTGCAGTGGCCTGTAATCCCAGCTCTTTGGGAGGCTAAGATGGGAGAATCACTTGAGAGGCCAGGAGTTTAAGACCAGCCTAGATGACTTAGTGAGACTCCATCTCATACAAAAATAAAATAAAGGCCAGGCATGGTGGCTTACGCCTATAATCCCAGCATTTTGGGAGGCCGAGGCAGGCAGATCACCTGAGGTCAGGAGTTCCGAGACCAGCCTGACCAACATGGCAAAACCCCATCTCAACTGAAAATACAAAATTAGTTGGGCATGGTTGCAGGGCGTAATCCCAGCTCTTTGGAACCTGAGGCAGGATAATCGCTTGAACCTGGGAGGCAGAGGTTGCAGTGAGCCGAGGTTGCACCATTACACTCCCACCTGGGCAACAAGAGTGAAACTCTGTCTCAAAAAAATAAATAAAAAGAAAAATAAAAATAATTGTTTTATGAAATGTGCATATTGAAAAATGCCTAAAATACAAATGTACAATTTATTAGATAATTATAAACAGCCATCCAGAGCAAGAAGTATAACATTACCAGCATACCACAAACCTCCCCCAAACCCCTTCCCCCTCAGTCATTTCCTTGCTTTTTTTTTTTTTTTTTTTTCCGCCCAGGCTGGTCTTTAACTCCTGGGCTCAAAGGATCCTCTGGCCTCAGCCTCCTAAGCAGCTGGGACTACAGGTAGGAGCCACTACTGGAGGCTCTTGCTCTTACCCATCCATGTATGCATCCCTGAACAAAACAGTGCAGTTTGCCTGTCATTGAGCTTTATGTAAGCGGAATCATACTCTCTGTTCCCTTTTGTGTTTTCTGTATTTTGTTCAACCTTATTTTTGTGAGATTCATCCAACCTCTTACGATTTGCTACATGCAATTCATTCATTTTCACTACTGTATAGTATTCCACTGTATAAATAATTCCATTGTATAAATAATTGTGTATTTATCCATTCTATTGTTTTTGGACATTTGGGTTGTTTCCAGGTTTTGGCTATTATAAGCAATGCTGGAATAAGCATAGATTCTTTTTTAATCAGAAAAAAAGTTACTACACGCAGTTCTCAGCAGTGCGAGCAAACATATTTGTGGAGTTTGTTCGGCCGAGAGCTAAGAGCGGCTGCTTTCCTTCCAAGTCACTTGTGATCGTTCAAAAGACCCCTGACCTCCTCCTGAGAGGACCCCAGACCATAAACAGAACCTGGCTGAGAGTTCTGTCAATGAAGCCTCTCAGCTTTTCTCTGATGGAAATAGCTTTAAGTCTGGCTTTTGCAATCAGCCTGGGGCTTTGGACTACGGCAAGGCAAGAGTCTGGAATGGATTCTGCCTGCCCAGAGCTCGGTCATTTAATCCTTGGGGTATCTGGAGGAGTGGGAGGAGATGGGGCACACGAGAGGTCTTGTAGCAACCTGCTTTGTCAGCGATCAATTTTGACTAGATCTTTCCTGCTTTATTGAGATTGAAGTGCTTTGCCTAAATCTCCAGGTGAGCAGCTGGCTGTTTTACAAGCATTTATTTTTATGTTTTTTCCCCCACCTTCCACCCTCGCTTATAGACCATTTTCATCAGGAAATTGCTTGGCTTTCTTTGCACTGGGAAACAACATTCAAAGAACTTTCATACTTCCTACACCTAGGGAAAAACTGTGAAAGACGTGCAATGATATAGCTTCAAATTGCTTAGATTTAAATGTGAAGCTAATTTTAACACTGTCCAGGGTCATGGATGTTGTCTAGATGGGTCCAGGCATTTTTCAGGAGGTGGGAACTGTGACTCCCATCGCAGCTGGGATCTGAAGTAGCCCAGCATGGTCTCCACTAAAGGGAGTTTGGGGTTCCTGACCCTGGGACTCTCAGAGCTCCTGGGGCTCCGCTCCTCCTTGGGGGACTCTGGGGAGGTCTGACTGAGAAGAATAAGCCTAGAGAAACCCCAGGCTCTGAGCTGTCTCTAATGATCCCTGCCCCAGATGGTGTGGGATGTCCCATTAGCCACATTTTCAGTTTCCGGTCTTTCAGGACCCCCTCTCCTGCCTCATCTTTGGGGGAATTGGTAAGAAACCCAGATGCATCTTCTTTGGACCCTGAGTTGTTTCTCTAGTAGCTGTGCCAAGCCAGCTGGCAGTTGTCTGCCGCTCCATGTCCAGTGTCCAAGGGGGCCGTGTCCCATGTC